GCCTGGCTACCCAGCCGATGTAGCTGAACAGTGAGCTCCTCATTCAGTGAGAGTGATTGAAGAAGACATTTAATATCAACTTCTGGTTTCTATGCCCATGCATAAGCAAACAGACAAACACACACACACACACACACACACACAACTTAGGAACTGCAATATGATCTTTATAAACAGGTACATATGTTAAAGATACATAACATAAAAGGAAAGCATGGCCACTTCCTTAGAATATTTCTCGTCGCTTCCAGTAGCTGGACATCTATGCCTCCAGCCCAGGGGGAGAAATTATGTTCCTAAGGTAGCCTGTCCAGAAGCTGTTGTGTGTTCTGTGTATTTGTGCAGTTGTGCCTTTTAGCATAGAGGGGAATTAACTTCCCCCAGGCTGTGTGCTCCCTGCTGTTACTTGTAATGTGTGTTGGTTTGCAAAGCGTGGTGTGCCAAAAATGCTAACTGAAAAGCCCGTCTCTGTGAGTTACCTCACGGGTACACAGTGGGGCCTGTGGAGCTAGATCATCTGGAAAATTTTAGCAGCAGGACGTAGAAACTGCAGTTACTGAGGCAACTTAGGGAGAGATGACGTCTTTCCAGCAGCCAGACTCTAAAAATACCATGGTAGATATAAGCATGAATAGGTTTTTCAATTCTGGGAAAAGGTTTGAAATAACATCTCAGTTTATGTTATTGGTGAGAAATGATTCCTTTGCTATGAGCTGGAAAAATGGGAGAAATATGATCTTATATTTTTGTTTGTAAGCCTAGCCTTTAGCAGCTGAGCCGTCTCTCCAACCCAAGAGTTAAGATCTTATCTGGTGTGTGTGTATGTGTGCGCGTGCACGCACACAGGCTTGACATACATGAGAAGAAAACACGGGGTACCCTGCTCTGTCATTCTCCACTCTAACCCCTTTTGAGACTGGGCCTCTAATGAACCTGGAGCTCATTGGAGTCTCTCTGTCTCTCTCTGTCTGTGTCTCTGTCTCTCTCTCTGTCTCTCTCTTTCTGCTGGCTGGCCAGTAAGCCTCAACCATTCTGTGGAGTCCCAGGCTTGTGTAAGCCATGCCCACCTTTTACATGGGTGCTGGGCCTCTGAACTCAGATGTCCACTCTTTTACAGCAAGTACTCTTATCCACTGAGCCATTCCCCTCACCCCCCCCCCCTCTGGTTTTTGGAAGAGTGTAATTGTGATAATTATAAGTAAAAGGAAAGTGGAGCAAAAAAAGCAACCCCCTCCCTTTTTGTTGTTAGTGTTGTTTGGAACTTAGGTTCGAGATAGGGTCTCACTGTATAGCCAAGGTTGGCTTCACGTTTGCTCAGTAGACCCAGCAGGTCCTGATTTTAAATGTTACAGAAGGTACAGTAATTAATTCTTATATGTAAACAGTATAGTTAGCTTTTCCCCCCCTATCTTGGAGATAGGTTTTCCTACATAGTCCAGGCTGGCCACAAATTCACCATCTTCCTGTCTCAACCTCCCAAGTTCTAGATTACAAGTATGTATTACTATGTGTACTAGCTGTCCTATATCAACTTGACACCCAAGCTAGAGTTATCTCAAAGGAGGGAAGCTTAATTGGGAAAATGCGTCTATAGTTTCCAGCGGTAAGGGATTTTCTTAACTAGTGATTGATGGCTGATGGTCCAGTCCATGGTAGGTGGTGCCATCGTGGGCTGGTGGCTCTGAGTTGTATAAGAAAGCAAACTGAGCAAGCCGTGAGAAGCAAGACAGTAAGCAACCCCCTCCATGGCCTCTGCACCAGCTCCTGCCTCCAGGTTCCTTCCCAGTTTGAGTTCCTGTCGTGACTTTCTCCAGTGATGGACTATGATGTGGAAGTGCAAGCCAACTAAACCCTTTCCTCCCCAACTTGTTTTTGGTCGTGGTGTTTCATCACAATGATAGAAACCCTAATAAGATACCATGCTTATTTTATAATCCAAGCTGGCTTGAATAAAAATCTTGGTATGTGTAATTCAGAGAGCCTGAACATCAACATTATACGTTTTTTAATTTTTGTGTTGTTCGTTGGGTGTTGTGAGCTAGAGTCTGGTGCAGTCCCGCCTGGTGTGTACACTCACCATGTAGTGAAACTCCTGAGCCTCCTAGCTCGAACTCCCTGACGTTGGCATCATGAGTGTATACCACATCCATTGCTTTTTGGATTTTTAAGGTTGGCTCTTACTATGTATTCCTGTCAGGACCTGAGCTCTCACCCTCCTAACTAGTTCATATTATGGGAGCCGACCACTACACATGGGTGTTTGATCAGCCCTAAGACTGTCTTCCAGTTAAAGCATGGGGTTTCCACATTGTCCCGGGGACATCTTAATCTATCTAGATTTCTTTTTTTTTTTTTTTTTTTTTTTACAATTTTTTTCAGGTTTTTTTTAAGATTTATTTATTTATTATTTATACATTATTCTGCCTGCATGTACATGCCAGAAGAGGGCGCAGGATCTCATTATAGATGGTTGTGAGCCACCATGTGATTGCTAGGAATTGAACTCAGGACCTTTGGTAGAACAGCCAGTACTCTTAACCTCTGAGCCATCTCTCCAGCCCGCTCTATCTAGATTTCTATGTAAAGTTCCTAACTTCCAAATGTTGGCCAGTTAAGACGAACCCTGTGGGACAGTGGAGGCGTAATTGTGGTGAAGACTGGATGACTAATATGACCACTGTGTGTTTCAGAGACACAAATGCTCTCTGAGAGCCTGTCAAGGGTTATCGGGCAATTCCTGTCTTCCCATGTAGCAACACAAAGGCAGCCCTGTGGAGGAAAGAACACAGATCTGAAGGCTAGCACCCTGGGTGGGAGGGCCTGGCATTCCTCTCATTCTTTGGCAGAAGAAAAGCAAAGAGAACAGCCTAGTTAAGTCAGTGCTAAAATGCTCCCAGGAGTGCTCATGGCTCCGTTCTGGTTGGGTGGTGAGCAGGCAGTGTGACCTGAGTTATCACTACGACCATGGTTGAAAACTGCTGATTACATAATAGACGTGCCCTGGATTCTTGATGACCAGCTTTGAGGATGGAGAAGGAGAAATGGTGATTGCGTGTGTGAGTGAGACACCCCAGTAACAGAGGTTAAGGAGTGGAAATGTCAGGGTTCATGGCAGCAACAGGAAATAAAGACTGCATGCTACATTCTACTTCCTACTCAGTTTTTTATGTAACCATGAAGGAAATAACTTTGTTTATTGAGAGAGGGTTTCTCTGTGTCAATTTTGCTCTCCTGGAACTCTATCCGTAGACCAGGCTGGCCTCAAACTCAGAGATTCACCTGTCTCTGCCTTCCTAGTGCTGGATTAAGGGTGTGTGCCACCAAATACTGGCTATGAAATGAGAAATTAGTAAAAGCCAGTGTTTGTGTGATGTCTTCAAGAATGCTTTAACTTCGCTGTGTAACTTGAACTTCTATGGATATACCGTGTTGCCTGTCCATTTTACAAATGAGAAATGCTTATTTATTTTTATCTCTTTTTTGAGACAGTCTCATGTAGCCCAGGCTGGCCTTCAACTCAGTATATAGCCAAAGTTATCTTTTAACTTCTGACTCTCCAGTCTCCACTCCCCATGGGCTGGTATTACATGTGTGTATTACCACACAGTGAGCTTACAAGGTTTTGGGAATCAAACCCTAACAATGTACATAGGAGGCAAAAATGCTCTACTAAATGAGCTGCATTTGTAGCAAAAAAAAACATGATATAGAAGAGAAGAAGTGGCCTACTTAAGATGATCATCAAAGGGACATAGGACATAAATTTCCCTTTTAAGATTCCAAATCCTATAACTCCTTTTAAAAATCAGAAATGAAATTGTGATTCTGAGTACATAATTCCAATTTGGGTGTGTAGATGAAATAAGTATAGATATTTTTGAACTTGATACTAAGTTTTAAGCTTAGTTTATATTGACATTACTTTGGCAGAAATCAATTAAAAAATAAACGGTGAGTTCCTAAAAGTATTATTATTTCATGCAGGCGTATATGGTAACTGTCCAGGCAATGCACTCACAGGCTCATGATTGTGAGAACCACAGGACAAAGCATCATGGGATTAGTCATCCCAGGCAAAGGATCTGCGTCCTCAGGTTTAAACTCTCTGCAGCTGGCAAAAAGCTCCTCTCAGAGCCCACATGAGGCATATAGTCTGCTATTGTGAGCCACCTGAATCAGTTCCGCATCCTACAGCACAGTTTGGTGCCGGGAAAGGTGACACTATTAACAATCATGTGGGAGCAACAGGTGTAGGAAAGGAGGATAAGATTAATACCAAGTCCACATAAATAATTACGTCCGTAGGCATAACAACTATGAGAATCTGAGTCCCCAAAGGTTGGCCCACTATAATAGAAGATTTATGTACTCTGTCTTAATTCTCACAACAGTTGTATGAGGTGGGTACTGCACAGTAGGTGGAAATAAAGCTGAGAAACGTAAATAACTAATGGAAGCTAATAAAATTCAGAGTTAGGATTTAAGCCCAGTTTTTGTGAAATACTCAAATAAATGCTTTTTCTATCCTGTCCTGTAGGAAAACTGTACCCATTTAGAAACTGTTGGATCTGAGTAGCTAGCTAGATGGGGTTGGTTATCTTAAAAATGATTTGACCTATTTGGGCCACACACTGTTTATAAAGTCTATGAAAAAAAATGACAAGTATAGCAGTGTTCATGTGTGCATGCATGTGTGTTTGTCTCTGTTTGTCTTTCAGTCTCTCTGCTGTCTGTCTGTGAGTGTGTCTGTGTGTCTGTCTTTCAGTCTGTCTGTCTGAGGTCTCTGTGTCTCTTTATCTGAGACAGGATCTCATTTACCCCCGGTTGCCCTTGACCTTTTTATGTAGCCTAGAATAACCACTTCTGAATCTACTGCCTTCCGCCCTTCCCCCCCCCCCCCCCCCCGAGTGCTGGTATTATGGGAATGCTGGACAGGCACTTTATCAACTAAGCTACATCCCCAACCCAGACTGACTTCTTTCCTTCTGTCTTCCCTCTAGGTCTGTCAGTTTGTCGTCTCTGTCAATGGCCTCAACGTGCTGAATGTAGACTACCGCACCGTGAGCAACCTGATTCTGACAGGTCCAAGAACAATCGTCATGGAAGTCATGGAGGAGTTAGACTGCTGAGCAAGGAGACATGCCTGCTGATGCCCTGGCCCAGAACAACACAGCAGTGGCATGACGAGACTACCAGAGAAACAGATAATTGGGACACACAGATCTTTCCTCTGTCTATATACACCTTGACCTTCAGACACTGTTTGAACGTGGAAGAATGGGTAACACATCTTAAAAAAACAGAACACAGCAGGAGTGTGGTGGCTCAAGTCTATAATCCTAGCATTCAGGAGGCCAAGGCAGGAGGAGTGCTGCAAGTTCAAGGCCAGCCTCAGCTACCAGCATGAGTGCCCGACGAGTGTTGTTTGTACACTTGCGCATGTAAACACACATATACACACGCATTTGTAGAAGATGGTAGGGAAATAGTTTCCCACAGGGTGGAATTGTCTTACTAGAGCCCAGTTTGTAGTTCTCAATAAGTGGTTTTCATGTTTTCAGAAAGCTGTCGAAAAACTGAAATAGCAACATGGAAAAAAATGCCATTTTTAGACGTTTGTAGGATAGTTAGTACAGAGTTTACATCAGGTCCATTGAGCTTTCGTGGCAGGCGTAATCAAACAGCACCTGCAGTCCGGGCTGCTTAGGATGCCGAGGCAGGAAGATGACTGGAGCTCTGGTGTTTGGGCCAGCCTGGGCAATATAGTGAGACCCCCAAGTTAACTAAAAGTGTTTTCACCAAAACGAGCCTGAAGCTGTTACATAGGTCTAGATTTCATGCAGCTTAAAATTAAAGCAACATCCCTAGGAATGTGACCAGCTGACAAGACTTCCCAGGAAGGTTTGCATGCATTCAACAGCTTAAAGGCCATCACCACAAAGGAACTTTCTTCCTCACTATTTTTATTTTTGGGGTAGAGGGGTAAGGGGAGCACTGCCTTGCTAGGTGGCTCCAGCTATTGACTTTCCTTAAATTTCTGCCTTTATCACTAACTTTCAGCTTGCCCAGTTTCAGTTATGGCATGAGGTGAAAAATGAGACAAAATGCTGTGTCATGGGTGGTGGGGATGGACAGAGGACTCTGTCTACAACAGCCTGCCTCTCTCTTCTCTTCCTAGGCCTGGTTGGTTTTCCCCATAAATCAGCAGCTTTCTGGGGTTTATTTGAAATGTACTGGCTGTGAAAGCAAAGAGGTCTGTCCATACCCATGTACCCATGTTAAGATTCAAAGTCAAACTTCCCAAACCTCCAGCAAGATTGCACTTTGCAAGTGTCCTCTTTTAAGGGACTTGGCTTTAGTGCATCAAAACTTGAAAGTTCAAATGCCTTCTTAGCCTGGATTTTACAAGCCTTCTAAGGTCAGGGGATGTACTACTCACTGAAGAGTCTGCTTGCCACTGCAATCTCCATCTTGGGTTAGAATTCTTCATCTTACCTCTGCATGTTTCTTTGATCTAGAAAAGACTTCCTCTGAACCAAATGCGGGACCACGTTCCTGTAATCCCAGCACCCAGGAAAGTAGAGACAGAAAGGTCAGGTGTTCAAAGGGGGCTTGAGCTATAGGAGACCCTGTCTCAAGAAACCCAGGAGAGGCAAGGGAGTACATTTGGGGTATTGCTATGTAGAGGTCATTCCTCAAAGTACCAAATAAGAGTAATTTTCCATAATGAGTTTTGAACAGAGAAGCTACGTTCTTATTATGTATTAACAGAATGGTAGTGTTGTGCCTCAGTGGTTTCTTGGTGGGAGGTGATCATTGTGCATTGGTACTGGTGGAATGGATTTTATTAGCATATCTTTATATATATGCTAGTCCAATTTTTCTACCTTTAGTAAAAAAAATAGGATTTTGAGGTGCTATGAGTTAGCTGACATTAGTATTGTCAGTGTTTGGGAGAGAGTCTCTCCATGTATGGGTGTTTATGCCATGAGCAGGGCTCTGTGCGTAGCACTCGTTGTCCATGTTCTTCTTCACTCCTTGTCACAGCCTTTTAAGATAGGTATTATTACTCTCATTTTTCAGGTAGGGAGACTAGGTCTGAGCAAATTTAATGATGCTCTCTAAGTTCACCTGCTGTAACTGCTGTGTCACACAGCCCTTTTCGTCAATGCTGAGGCCCCTTGGCCTGTCTGCCCGGACTTCCTGTTTAGAGGTCTTGAATTCAGCGCCCACATTGTGCCGCGCTAAGACTCTCAGGCTTTTGTTGTCTTATTGGCCAATACCATCCTCACCCGTTTTATAAATGAGGAAACCCACTCATAGACAAGCTGGTTCGTTATCCTCAAAACAGCTTAGCCACTAAGTAGGAGATCTTACACATGGTCCTCGTGTGTGTGTGTGTGTGTGTGTGTGTGTGTGTGTGTGTGTGTGTGTTTGTTGAGGCAGAGTGTCAAGCTCCTGAGCCTAAGTGGGATTACAGGCATACAGCACTACTCTCAGATATGATAACACCTTAAAAGATGAGTCTCAGGATGTTCTTCGTCTCTAGATTTTCCTTGATTGATAAAAGAGGAAGCAGTGCCTGTACAGTATTATATTCTTGCTGCTCACTTCCAAATACTCTTTGCCTTGAACCCTAGATCATATCATTTCCCTTTAGGCAAAGTAACACACAGAAGGAGCTCTTTTCTCCACACAGCCTCCTGTCCATTAGAGAGGGAGTGAAGAACAGTCCTATTGTTTTCTTATTTGGTTCCATTCATCCTCAATTTAAAGGTCAAGTGCCAGAGAACACTTTTTTTTTTTTTTTAATCTTAGCACTCTGGAGATAGAGGCAGGTAGATATCTGTGAGTTTGAGGCCAGCCTGGTCTACAGAGGTAGTTCACAACAGCCAAGGTTACACTGAGAAATCCTGTCTTGAAAAACAAGCAAAGATAGCTTCTTGCTATGTGGCATAGCTTGTCTTCAAACCCATTCTAGTTCTCTTTCCTCAACGAATATCTTTTGGCCCTGAGTTCTCTATCTATCTTATCTATCTATCTATCTATCTATCTATCTATCTATCTATCTATCTATCTCTCTTTCTCTCTCTTACACACACAGACAGATATATACAGCCTCATATATAATTAGTGACTATTCCACTGGTTCCTAGGACCCTTTCTCACTCATTGGCGTTTGTGCACATGGTATTTCTAGAGTGTTATTTCTCCCTCTTTGCTGAGTAAAATTATTACTAGATCCTTTGGTTGTCATTTCCTTAGAGAAATCTTTGCCAGGCCCCCAAAGATGTTCCCCTTCTAAATTCTCCAAATCCCCACAGACCCATAAATCTTATTCAAACCTATATTGGAGCACAATGACATTTACAGTGTCATTCCTTGGTCACATGTCAGTCTCTCTACATAGACCCTCAGCATATTGCAGAATGGGGGCTGTGTCTTAGTATCCAGTGTATTTCTTGCCTTTATCTGTCCCTAACCCAGAGTAGCACCTTCACTACTCACTGTTGTCTGATCAGCAAGCCCCAAATTCTAGCCTATAACAGCATCATTTCTTTGTTCATGACTCTATGGGCTGTCAGCATTTGGTTGTCACGACCAACCATTGCCCCAAAGATGCCAGTAGGTCTGTGCACACATTTGCCTTCAGTGTGCAAGTGCCGGAGGCCTTTTGCTCTTAGAAGTGCTGTCTTTTGAATCTTGAATGTCCTCCAAAAGCCTGTGTGTTAACAAGTTCTTTTCACCAGGGAGGCAAACACTGGGAGGTCGGAGAACCAGCCGCACATGTCAGTACTTAGGAAGTGGAAACAGGAAGATCAGGAGTTCAATGGCAGCCTTGGTACCAGAGTAAGTCGGAGGCCAAGCTGGGTCACATGAGATATTGTCTCATGTGTCATAGGACCTAGTGATAGAACCACAGGTAACTGATGGGGATAGGGGGTAGACCTCTTTCTTTGCTTCTTGGCCATGAGATGAGCAATTTGCTTCTACCGTTTGCTCCCATACATTGTCCTAACTTACAATAAGCCTCAAAGGTGAGCTAGTACAGAAATGGGGCCAATCATGGACTAAAACCTCAAAAACTGTGAGCCAAAATAACCCCTTTCTCGTTATCAGTTGGTTATCATGGGTATCTTGTTATAGAGACAGAAATCTGTCTAACACAGGTGGCCTCATGCATACATCTCCAAACCAACTTTGTTCTGAGTTGGATTGCCACAGTTCCAGGTCATATAGCCCCAAATAACCTAGAAAGAATCTGTAACCTTCTCTCCTTTGGCTTATAAGTTGAACACTTTGACTTTCACACCATTTTATGAACCAAGACATAAAACTATAAAACTAGCTCTAGGCACAGTGGTTAAGAGCCCAAATTTTTCTTCCAGAAGACCCAAATTTGATTCCTGGCACCTCCACAATGGTATGAAACTGGCTGTCACTCCAGTTCCAGGGGATCTGGGCTGCTCTTCTGACCTCCATGGACACCAGGTACACACGTGGTACACAGACATATAGGCATGCAAAACACCCATATACATACAGTGAAAATAAATCTTTAAAAATAAATAAATAAAACTAGCCCAGAACCAGGAGTAGAGAAATAGATATCACCTTTTATGAAACTTGCATAGAATCTGTGCCCATTTTTAATTCTCTAAAAACAGATGCAAAGAAGGAGCCATCATTAGTTGAATGTAGTTATTGAAAGCTTTAGGCTCAAGTTCTTATCTACTCATCAGCTGGAATTGAAATGTCTGAAGCTGGGTTTCTAATGAAACCTTTAGAGTCCATAGACTAAAATGCCAGCTTAATCACTTCATTTGACCAACAAATGAGGCCTAAAACGATGTTATGCTCTAACCAGACTTGTGAAGCTTGTCGAGTAGGAGCTGAATGCCTTCTGAGCCTCCTGCCTTCCATCCGTGGTACAGAGCAATCTGCAGCACAGTGTCATGCTGCTGAAAACAGGCGTATAGCATGATGTACTCAAAAACCAAAAGTGGCAGCAGGTATCTGGGAAAGAAAGGGAATATCATATCCGTTGTAGGCTGGGAACGTCCTGTACTGTAAAGCATAGACTAGACTCACAGCAATCTTCCTGCTTCAGTCTCCGGAGGACTAGAATTCCCGGACTGAGCTACCATGCCTGTGTGGTTTTCATCTATCTTTGTGTACCTGTGATCTTCAAAGAGGAAACAGTATTTATTGCTTGAGATAACATTTCCCTGCACACCTTGGACAAGTTCCTTCTTGTTCTCTTAAATACTTTCAAAGCCAGGCATGAGGGCTCACACCGGTATTCCTAGCAGGAGGATTGCCATGAGCTTACATCCAGCCTGGGCTACAGAGACTTTGTCTCAAAAACAAAACTAATCAAAAAAAAAAAAAAAAAAGTAGATTTTTAGATGTTTGTGTGATGTTTATGTTTTGATGATGGAAAGAGAGATAGTTTTTATTTTTGTTTCTTCATTAGTGCAGTATGTATAAATTAGAAGGCCATCTTTTATTGGAATGGAAACTGCTGTTGCCTTTTGGGCTGTTCCTGCCTTCTGAGTTTAATTACAACTGGGCATGGCAGCCCACAGCAAGGAGAAGAGTCATGCTAGAGAATGGAATTTGAGACTATCCTGGGCTATCCACAGAGACCCTGTCTAAAAATTAATAATTTGGGCTACATGTGAAGATAGCTACCCAGAAGATGTAATAATTAAGGAGACTACTTGAGAAATGGTAGGTAACACAAGGGGGACAAGCCATCTTTGCTTAGATGAGGTGTTGCTGACTTCACACCATCATGTGACAAGTAGCCGCTTTGGAAGGACAGACACCAAGCTTAAGGATATCACTGCTATCCATTCAAATAGGGGTCTTGAGTTTCCAAATCTTTCCTTTTAGTTGTATTGTAGAGATGATCAACTTTCAAGGCCTATTTTGAACCATTGGTTCTGACTCTTCTCTGCAAGCTGCTAAGAATTCTGTTTTACTTTGATTACAAATGATCAGAATAACTAACTCCTGAGCACTTTGGTGTGGCTGACTTGCTGAAATGATTGTTGACATTAATCGTGATTTCCTGCCGCCTAAACTTCAGGTATAATGTATATTTCTTCATTGCAGTCCCGAAAGGACAAATGAGCTGTGTGCCAAAACGAAGTTCACATCAGCAATCACATACAGTATTGTCAAATGAGTTAAAAAGTACTTAATACATAGCTTTATTTTAAAGTTTGGTGAGAGTGACTCACTATCTTTATTAAAACTGTACCATAATACTTAAGATGATTGTATGAAAACACCGGGGTATAGCATGAAATAAATGTTACATTTTTTTAAAATGACTTTTTAAGTTTTGGCTTTTTCTCTTTTAAAACAAATTGGCCACTTTTTGTCCAAAGAAAGGGATGCCCTTCAAGCTGATCTCCTGACTCGACAGAGAAGAAACACCAGGCCCTCTCTTACTTGTGAAAGGAACCAAATGTCCCCTTGTGAGTATGTTCAGGAGAGATATTTTTTGAAGGACTCCTGCCTGGAAAACTGCACTAAAAAGTTTTTTCCTTACTTATTTGATGTCACATCGCTGGGTCCCTTTGCTAGTGACTCTACAAAGCACAACAGTAGGTGCCTGTATAAGTGTGGCACAGTATACACAAAGTGTGTTGTGAGGTGTGTGTGTGTGTGCATGCAGATATGATCAGGCTCACAAAGTAAATCTTTTTTTTTAAAAAGTCATAAGCCAGTGCCTTCAAGTACTTTAGTGTGGATCTGAGGCAGCAATGACAGTAAAGCAGGGAACTGTATGCTAAGGGTCTCAGATTCAAGCTGATGATATTCCTAAATTTGAGGATTAAAATATTCCACAATATTCTAGCTGAAGGTCAGGAGCTAGAGAGATGACTCGGGGATGAATAGCACTGGCTGCTCTTCCAGAGTTCCTGAGTTCAATTCTAGCATTCACATGTTGGCTCACAACTTATAACTATAGTCCCATAGGATCAAATGCCCTCTTCTGCTGTGTAGAAAGAACACTCATACACATAAAATAAGCATATTTTTAATAAAAGGGTAGAAGAACAGGTACAAGATTGATGATAAATGGCTACTAATGGGCTAAAGAAAGCCCAGGCTCATTTTGGCCCTGAATCTGCAATATTAGGACACCACAATCACGACATTCTACTCAGTCAGGCTGGGGAAACTTTAATCTTTCTCCGGGGACTTCAGATCTCAAAGGGCTTTGTTGGCCGGTATTACCCTATGCATCTAATTTCTTATGATTTTTTTCAATCAGCTGATAAAGACATAATTCTGTGTTTGGGAATTAAGTGCAGGTATAGGAGAGAGTATCTTTTCAGATGTGTTAATATCACCTAAAAGACATTAAATTTTTCTGCCACTTATCTACTTCAGTCTTCATTCATTCATTCAAGAAACCTTACTGAGGATTTGGTTGTTAGGCACTGAAGGTGAGCCTTAGGGACACTGGAAGCATGTCCCTGTACCCACTGTTTTATTCCTCAGGGGCCACCCGTAGGCCTGACTCGTAGAAGTTTGTCTCCACTGATGGGGTAACATGAAATCATAGGGCCAGCCAGACATGTTGGCATGTGCCTGTATTCCAGGAAACTGAGGCTGATCAGGAAGTTTGCCATGAGTCGGAGCCTAGCATGAGCTACCAGTGAGCATATCAAGAGAAGAAGAAAGCAGGATGCGGTGAAATGCTGTAAAGCACTGTCCAACTCAGGAGGGCTGACCGCAAGTCTACATTTTTTGTCCTTTTTTTTCTACCTAAATTCAAATCTTAATCAGCTAAAATTAAAAGTTAGATGGAGACAACTAACCGAATATATCCTTTAAAACTTAAAATGTGTCACTGGAGGTGGTGGCATACTCCTGTGATCCCACAGAGGCAGACGGATCTCTCTGAGTTCAAGGCCAGCCTGGTCCTACAAAGGTAGTCCAAGACAACTAAGACTACAGAGAGAAACAAACAAACAAACAAAAACTTAAAATGTGGGGCTAGTGAGATAGCTCAGCAGGGAAAGAGCCTTCCTACCAACTCTGGTGACTGAATTTGATCCCGCGTAAAACCTACATGGTAGAAGGAAAGGACCAGTCCTTCACAAGTTGACCTCTGACCTGCAAGCGCTCCTGCATTGTGACACTCGCGCACCCACACATACACGCATCGTATGCACACACACTAAAAAAGTACTTTAAAATTCCATGTGAAATAATTTCACAAGACTGCTTAGCAGTATCTATTTCCTGCCGTGTCAGACTCCAAGGAGTTTTATAGCCTGTTAGAAAAGCAATACAGTAATTAGCATGTGTGGAGTTGCAGTTCGGATAGCCCACAGCTACACTCCCCGGATATATTGGAGATTTAGTCTTGATTACAGTGAAGTCTCCTGTCCTGAACACACCTTAGTTGAGACATCATTTTTCCGGGGGCGGCCTCTAAGTCTAGAGGTGTTGGAGAGTAGTGCTAGGATGACGTAAGCCACACCACCTCCCTGGGCTTCTGTTCACACAGGCTTTCCGTGGTCAGAAAGCGGGAGCCCAGGCTGCTGCTTGCGGGAAATGTCTCACAAAGCACCCGGAAAAATAAGGGACCGCTCGGTCAAGAACTTAAGAGTCTCCTGTCCTTCCTTCCAGAGCTTGACAACTTTTAACTTTACCTTTTCGTCCTGTGTGGCTCTATCTTTGCTTAGTGGGACTTTATTTCCTGCTCATTGTTCTTTGCTCCCTCAGGGTTAAATATTAAACCCATTTCTGGAAGTCGGCCACGCTTGGATCCACAAAGATCAGTTCCTGACAAGGGCTTAATGAAGGTGGAGAGTGGCACCTTGCGGTCCAGTCTGACTGGGCGGGGCATCGGATGGCCTGGGCTCTGTCGGGTTTGCTGTTACTTTAACATTGGCCGTGTCTGGGTGGGGATGGCTGAAACAGGGTAAGGCCAGATTATGTAAGATCTGTGTGTTTCTGCGGCTGTGCAAGCTACGGAAGCAGGCTCGCAGTCCTTAAAGTCAACCCTGCTGGTCTATGTAGCACAGGAACGTCCAGGCTAGTTAAATATTAAGCAAGGGGAACTCCCAGATACGAAATGTTACAGCAGAGAGGGAAGAAAACAAGCAAGCACAGCTAGCTCTAAGGCACATGGGAGGCGGAGAACGCCTGTCAGGGAGTTAAGAAACACAAAGAACCCTTGTTTTTTGCAGACTCTTTACCCCCAGTATGAGCTGCATCTACGGTAAAAGCTCTAACGCTTTCCATTTGACATGGCAGAGGTTTCTAAAAAGCAGATTTGGTGTCTTCTTAACACAAGTACAAGCTAACCCACTCATTCCTCTTTACCTATTTATTTACTCAGTGGCTTCTTTGCCTGTTTTTTGTTTGTTTGTTTGTTTGTTTGTTTTTGGGGGGTGGGGGGAGTCAGGCACACTCTCCTGGCAGAATCCGAAAGGGGAAACAGCAAGCATAATAGAATATTTTCAAAATTTCTGAGACACCTTATGCGTTTGCTGGTTTGGGTAGCCATTTTGAGAACAAAGAAACATTCTTAGAAAGAGCCAGTAGGAACCCAGCCTAGGGATCTCCAGGCAGCATTCAGGAAGCTCAAGTAGGAGGATCAGGGATTTGAGGACAGCCTAGGATACACGGCCAGATTCTGTCGAGAAAAAAGAAAGAGAGAGAGAAAAGAGTAGAAATCAGAAGTAGTAGGTAATATTTGTCAGTGGAAAACTTGTTTGGCTTTTACAAGAGCTCAGCACCACACTTGCACATTTAAAAGTTAATATTTATTGCATTCTAAATATATGCCAGTTGCCTTGCTAAATATTTTCTATGGAAGATTTATAACAATTCCATGACAGGTACTCATAACATTCCCAATTTCTAGGCAAGAACCAAGAGCACAAGGTCATGGTATGCACTTAAACGGGGGTGGGGGTGGGGAATCTAGAACAAGCCTTGTTCCTTGAGAACAAACCACTTTTAAATTTTTTTAACTTCTGTTTTAGGGACAGGGTCTTAGTGTGTATCCTGCACTGAAGATGGAGTCTAAGCTCTCCAGCCTCGGCCTCCCGAGTGCTTGGATTGCAGGGCTGTGTCAAGCCGCTGCTTTTCTGCTTTGCCCACCCCCAACCCCTACCGCCTCCTGCTGCTGATGGAACTGAGGCTGCAGGCATGCTGGTCCAACCCTCTCTGACTTAGCCACATCCCCACACTGCAGGTTCTGTTCCTTTGCAGTTGGGGCCACCCATCCCCTCTCCTGTGAGGTGAGTCGCTGGGGCTCATTTTTCTGTGGTCATGCTGAATACCTCACAAAACCACGATCCCACCTGTTCCCCCCTCCACCTCCCCTGCCCCCCCCATACATCATGCTTATTTCCCTAGGAATTTCTTTGCCTCAAAACTAGAAATGTATTAACTTTGATCAGTCTGCTTTGTAGTTACTGTTCTAGAAGCACCCGATCTTCGTACTTTTCATGTCGGCAATTCATCTCCTCCTACATATAAAACAGACACTCTTGCTACCTGGATATTATGGCTATGTTGACTATTAAGTGCTTATTACTATGGTGGGGGAAAAAATAAGCTGGTAAGTTCTGGAGCTGTTTTCAAACTTGGAGTCATAGCCTGTCCAGCCCCCATCCTCCATAAGTCAGTTGAAGGAGTCAAGTTCATAGTGGAAAGCAGAAAAGGAAGATGTTTTTTCAGTGTGGCCACATGGGAAAGGCAAAAAGATCCAGGGAGCCTCCCAAGTCTTCAGGGTCCTGCAGGAGATGCGATTGGAATTTAGAGAGAGGGCCAAGGTTATGCACTTCTAAGCAGCCTCGCTCAAGGCATGGTCCTGCCCACCCATCATCATCGTCTGGGCTCCTGTGGCATCCTGTAAGGTGCTCTGCCAAGTTGTTAGAACTGTGGGAAATCTTTTTGGGAGAAAAGTTCTCCTGTCTTAATGGGGCCTTTTCCTTCTTATAAGAGGAAATTTCCATTTCTTTGGGGTCTGCTGTTTCAGTAGTCTTAAGAAAAACATTGAGAGACCTAACTGTCTGTTTGGAATAGGTCCATGGGGGCTTACAGAAACTGAAGCACCAACCAAAGAGCATGCACAAACTGGAACTCCGCCTCCCAAACATATGTAGCTGATGGGCAACTTGGTCTTCATGTGGCTCCCCTAGCAAGTGAAGAGTGGTGGGGGAGATGGTCTCTGACGTGAGCTGTATTGCCTGCTTCTGGACCCTGTTTCCCTCAGTGGGCGGCCATGTCTGGCCTCAGTAGAAGAGGATGCAGGCAGTCCTGATGCAACTTGATGTGCTTGGGTGGGTTGGTGTGG